AGACCCAATTGTAAAAAAAAATTATAACTTTTATTGACAATTTTCACGTAAAATAAAGCCAAATGAAAGATATTCGGTAAGGTAATTTTTTTTAAAAAAAATAATTTGGGCAAGTTAAACAAATTTTAGACCCAATGGTAAAAGAAATTATCACTTTAATGGACAATTTTTATGAAAAACAAAGCCAAACGGATACCAAACTTTCAATATTTTTCAGGTGGAAAAGATTATATCAATCAAACACAATTAATTACAATTCTCAGTATTACAATTTCTAGGGAATTCAATTCCTTATAATTCATTTTCTTTCCACCAATTTTCCACATTTGCAATCAAACGGACCCTAAATGTCTTTCCTCGATTTGAATTTTTTATTTGTGAAATTTTCTTTAGTTTTGAATAGGGATGGCAACGGGGCAGGTATGGGACGGGTCGACCATTCCCATCCCTATCCAATCGGGTATTTTTGTTATTTTGTCCCATCCCTATACCTGTTTAAAGCAGGACGGGAGGGATCGGGGCGGGATAGAGGTGGGGTCTCTGTCCCATTTATTTATTATTTATTTTATTTTTCAATTTTATTTTTATGTTTTTACTTAGTAAATATTATTATTTTTTTACCAATTTATTGTAAACAACTTATGTTCTCTTTAAAAATATGATAAATATATTATTTTTGTTTGAGGTTTTTTGGCTTAGTGCGAAAGCTTCTAGGTGTTCTCTGTTCTTCGTGTTCTCTCTGTCTTCTCTTTCGATTTTTTGTGATAGAGTTTGTCTTTGTGATTCCAGTCTTGGTGATTGTTCGATTGAGGAGTAGAGACGTCAGATTGGCAGTAGATTCTTCGAACCACTGTAGTGGTTGCTTTGTGCGATTTAGGTTAGGGCTTGTGGTCTTTGTGACTAGTTCTTTTGTACAAACGGGTACAATATTCTGTGTGAATTTTCTGAGCCCTATATAAAGTGAAAGATCTGTATTCTTGTTGATCGATTGGTGTTCTATGTGAATCTCGATTTTTACCTTCCGTTGGTTTATTTCCTTACAAGTGGTATC